GCCCGCGGGCAAAGCTCTTTTAATTTTCCTTTACATTTTGTTTAGGCACGAGCAGAGTAAAAGCTCTCTCTGCTCATCGCTGATTTACAGCAAAGTCCGCAGTTCGCAGACCGTCTAGTCACCAGGTTCAAGTATGCATGAGTTAAGTCGTAAAGAGTTTCCAAAAATTTGCGCTCACTAAAAGCGTAGTAAAAGATTTTCCAATAAAAAATGACTTCGATTTTATCAATGAAAAGTAAATGAAAGTAGTATTGCAACAAAATCAAATTTCAAATTTTCGGTAAAAAAAATTTGACCTTTTCCGCATAATGGTCAAAAACTTGCTAATTGTCTACTTTCATTCATTAACCTGTGGGAAAATAAATTACATGGAAGCAAAAAAAAAAAGTTGTTATTTTTTTCAACGAACTCCATCAATCTGACCAACTGCCTAAAATCACCGATTGCAATGTGCTTAAATTTAAAACAATGTAATTAATACTTAGGAAAACTTTCAACCGCATACACCAGGCGACTTATGAATGAACTACTTGAAGGTGTACTACAAAGTAGTCAGTGTGTAAAATTTAAGTGGCTGCCAGCCAATCTCGGGCAAACTTAATATGGTCAGCGAATGAGCGCATCAAAACAACAAAAATCAATCAAGCAGCCAACGGACGAGTAAACAACAAAAAGTAAGTGTAACAGCTGTTGGCTAACAAAAGGAGAAAAACAAAGTTTGGGGGAAAAATAAAAACAACACCTTAACGCAAATCACCGCCTAGGCTTATCGAACTAAACGCGCATACCTACTACATATGTATCGATGGGAACCTGTACGCACGTAAGGGTGCTTCGAGAACCTGCCAATGGCACCACACCAACACCAACGTCGCAACCTCCGGCACGATCAACATTTAGCGCAACAAATCTCACTGTGTATAAGAATCTGCATGTCGAGCGGGGATTGAATTAAAAGTATTTGTATGTATGTATGTATGCATTTGAACTTGTAAGAGCGCGCGCGTTTGCCGAGTGGCAGGTGACTTCTGTGTAGGGGGCAATCGAGCGATCAGCGAATGCGTCCAAATGCCTGCAGTGCGAACGGTGGGAAAGCAGGGAGAAAAGTTTCTCACGATCCTGGCAGCACACATCCACGCATACATGCATACAAGCATATTTAGGAGATCTCCCCTAACCGAGTGACAGCAGTGAACAAAGCGTACAAATATACATACATACATACTTCCCCATACATGCGTATCGATCGGGCTCAAGCACAGATGTTCATACATACAGTCAGCGTCAAGAAAATGTGCACACCCCGACGTTTTGACCATTTTACTTATTTATATGTTCCATACCAAATTTTTCTTATGCTTTTATAAAAATTTAGTTCATTCAAAAGCCAAAATTAAAAGAATCAATTTTTTTATTTAATATAGAACTTAGACATTTTCAGCGACCATGCAATTCATTAAATTTTAGTGTTGAAAAGTCGCTAAAAATTGCCGTTAATTTTTGAACATTTTTGGAAATTTTTAGATACTTCATACTTGCTCTTTATTACACTAAAATTTTGTAGGCTACAAAACTGTTAACTAAAGATTTTTCTATGAAATCGAATTGAAAAGTTGAAAATTTCGATTGAAATTCTGTGAATTTTCCCGAGTTCTGTATGAAATTAAAAAAAAAAAATGGTTTCTTGTGGTTTTTGCTGTTGAATGAACTACATACAGTGGTGAGCAAAAATTATTATTTTTTTTAATTTCTATAAAATATTTGCAAGGCTTTTAAAAATAAGTTTTTTCGTTATTTTTTATAAAAAATATACCAAGAATATGGAATATGGAAGAAAATGCGCAATACCGTATGCAACGAAAATTAAAAAAAATTAACGCCAGTTTTTCTAAATTGCACTTGTTACATGAAAAAAAACATCGCAAAAGCCGTTAACAAAAAAAAATATATATATTAAAAATTTCAGCAGCTTAAAACTGGCACTTTATTATACTAAAAATTAAAAATCTAAAAATTCAGATTAAGAAATTCAAAATGTTAATGAAAATTTGTTGAATTTTTCAAGGCTCTTTATAAAGTTTAAACATATCTAAACCATTTTTTATAAAAAATAACAAAAAAATTTCCACTTTAAATACCTTGCAAATATTTAACAAAAATCACCATGTACTAATTTTGAAAAATTTGGTATGGAAAGTATAATTCAAAACGTCAGAGTATACTTATTTATGACGCCCACTGTATGTATGTTTGTTTGTTTGTTCATAAGCGTGTATGTGTCCGCATACCCACAACTGGGTATATTGTTGTTACAATTCTTTAGCCAAAGAAGATCACTATGATGGTCGTGTTCATCAAAAATTATCATCATCATCATTACAATGCGATGCGACACTCCGTGTTTACTTGCCGTTGCCTATGGTGCCATTTATTATTCTCATTCTCATTGTTGCTGGTTTTGTTGTTGCATGTATTGCAATTTCTTCTGCCACTGCTGACAGGAAATGAAACATAACGACCAAAACGCCATCAAATAACAACAACAAAAGTAAAAGCACCACCACCACCAGTACCAGCTCTAGCAACCACCATCCATAGTGTCCGTGCAGTGGCATAGTAATCCGCACACACACAGCTGAGCGCCCAAAATTGCTGAGCAGCATCGTCGACGCCGCCGATTTGCCTCACTTTGTCTGCAAGACGTCCGTCTCGTAAAGTGGTGCATTGTGAGTGAGTGAGTGCTGATTATGGTGGTATCCCTTCCGACGCGCGTACGCACGCAAGCATTGCACACGCAGCCATGCAGACAAACACGAGATCGCGAACTCGAGCGTGTGACCATTCAATGGATCGGTAGTCGGAAACGGTTGGCTAGCTGGCTGGATGACTGGCTGGCAGTCCGTCTGGTTGAGTGTCGTACGCAGCGCGCAGGGAGCAAAGAGCGGCGTATTCGGCGCTTGACAGGCAGAGGTCGATATGACCTCGCGCAAGTATTGAGCTTGTAGCTATTTTGGGGTGAGCTGTGCTCTCTTTAGATCTATACACTGAGAATAAATTCTGAGGATTTTTAGTTTCTTAAACTTCCAGTAGCACTGATGAGGGGTCAATCGCTCCTGAAGGGAATAACCAATCGTCTGAATTAAGCTTCAGTAAAATGACATCCAATAAAGTTAAAATATCCGATGCTTTTTGTGAGTTGATTTTCGAGTAGTCGAGGAGTGTGTTTGAACATTATGACAACCTGGTATTGTACGCCGTCTGTGAATCAGTTACATCAAATGGCGGCGGTTAATTCTCTTGTTTAAGGTTTGTGGAGTCTTAAACCGCCTATAGGTTGCTGGAATATAAAACAGGTTCCAAACCACTATGGAACACTTTTTGGATAACACATTGACAGCCTGGTTACCGGATATGTTTTAAAGATCGCGAGCCCATTTTATTTTTTATTAGTGTGAGTTATAGACGAAGTTTCGGTCAGGTTAGGCTAGCTTTTTGTCGGTTATCCCAGATAAGATACGCAGTTGGACATTAAGAAAATTGTCCTCTATGTCAATATGCAAATTTTTGAACGGTAACCATTACTTAATCGACGAAACGCCGCGAGCCTTCAGGCTTAGTTAAATAAATATTTAAACCTCAACTTCGCGAAGGCTGGCCAGTTTAATAGAAAGTGCTGAGGAGAATCTACCTCGTCATTCTACAGGCAACTGCGACTGAAGTGATTAGCTAGGATTTCCAGTTCTACTGCTGGAATACAAATCGGCCAATGCCATATCCAGCCAAAAACGCTCTGTGGCATCGCCGATCCACGCCCGCTTAGCTGATATCTGGCCCATCTGTCTAAAAGTAACACTTCAGCAGCCCGGAAGCCTGAACATAGATTTAATGGAGACCTGTCGGTCCTCACGTTTCAATCCATCCGTGGTAGAGTTCATTGTTTGTTTCCTTCAGTAGCCTCGCCCTGCCCAATCACGCCTTGAGGAAATGTTATCGGAGAAGAAGCCACTAGGTGGTATTTAGGAGGCGCAGTAATTTGCATTGTTAGTGCTGCAATCGAAATCTCCCTTAAATCCGGTCTTGGAGCCTGTTAACAAACTGGTTTCCCTTGGTCTGATAGCAGTTCGTGTTGTGTTCTTCAGATCAATAGTCCCACGACTCCGATGTGGATATCGCAGACATTTGACACCAGAAGAGCTTTAGACCCAACCAAGTAAGATCTCGGCGTTTTTGCTATTTCGACTGCATGGGACAAATGGGAAAGAGGACTGCCGGAATAACCATAAAAACAATTCCTATTAGATGACCTGGCTTTCTGCTACTCAAAAATATTTCGCAGTGTACTTTCTTCAAACAATATCGCTCGGCGTACACGTGGAGGGCTCGCCCTGTGCTGTCGGAGTGCAGCGCCACGTACATACACACTTTTATTCATAGGTGACGCACGAGAGCCACAGAGCAGCAAGCGAACGATCCACCACCAAAACAAGAGCCAGGGCTGCTTGCTGGAACGCGCTACACTTGAAGGCGCAGGCGACGCACGTCTGGCGCTCGTACTATTAACTTAACCGAACGGCTACGAAAATGAGCGATCTTTATAAATCGAATCAGAATCATCGCCAACGAAGCAAGCGAAAGAATTTGAATCATGAGGGAGCAACACTATGCCATGCAGCCCAACACAGCACGACAACAGGTTGCGAACGGAGAATCAAAATTGCGAAGCTGGTGTCGTTTTAGGGGTGGCGGTAGCCACCAACAAGCAGCGCACACGCAAGGCACAACGCACACACACACACACTTTGAGGTGCACGAGCGGCTGCATTCCTCCACTATAGGCAGACAGCAGTGTTTTGAGCCGAAGGCAAGGCTACAAAAGGATCGCACTACCTTGCGTTCGCATCATTTCTCAAACAGCTACCGTGCGGTAAACACTTGACACACTTGCTACACTTCTACCGACCGACCGTCTGTCTGTCTGTCTGTCGGTGCCAAAACGAAACACCGAACAAAAATAAAAAAACAACTCAAAAACTTGTTTTCTCAAATCAAAGTCGGGCAAATATTGCGCACTTTCGTGCTACCTCGCTTTTAAGTTTCGCGAACGCGCGCTTACCTTCAACATCACCAGCAACAAATACACTACAACAACATGGCTGTGGACGGACAACGCTTCATGACCAAAACGCAACACTATCGCAAGGTAACAAAGCCGTTGCTCGAACGTAAGCGACGCGCACGCATGAATCTCTACCTGGACGAGCTGAAAGATCTCATTGTGGACACCATGGAGGCGCAAGGTGAACACATTGCCAAGCTGGAGAAGGCCGATATATTGGAGTTGACAGTGAATTACTTGCGTACGCACAAGCACGAAATTGCCGCCAGCGTTGCACAGCATCAATCAGCGTTGAGCGGGGGTCCAGCTGGACGTGGCGTAAATGTGGAGAAATTTCGCGCCGGCTACACGCAAGCAGCATACGAAGTGTCGCGCGTGTTTGCCACAGTGCCTGGTCTGGATGTGAAATTCGGCACGAAACTTATGAAACATTTGGGTTATCAGCTAAAGGATTTGCAACAGGTACCATTGGCGCTACCACCGCCACATGCGGCGCGCGCAACGCAGTCGCCCGTTAGTGGTGAGGAGGCGCTTAATTTAGAGGTAGTCAAACGTGCTGATGCGATATCACCGACGGCAGCATATCTGGATGCTGAGTATATGAGACGCGCTTACCAACAACAACAACAACAGCAGCAGCAGCAACAACAGCAACATCAGCAGCTGCAACAACAAATGTGTGGAAATATGCAGCGCATGAAAGAAGCGGACGCAGAAAACGGCGGTGAATGCTTGTGGCGTCCGTGGTAGGTGGGTGCGCGCGTCCTCCAGCAAACAGCAGGTTGACAATTTTTAAAAGCTTTGTGTTTTTTTTTATTTTTATTTTAAACTGCCAGTGGCTTTAGTAGCTTTAAGTGTTTAGTGGATCTTTAGTAATTCTACATACTATATAAAATCGTGTCAGCTTTATTTGTTGTAAGTACAAATTGTCGTTAGAAATAGTTGATAACTTTAATTTGTTTGTTGTATTAATGTGATTTGCCTGTGATAGCCGCCAACTACACTCAGTTAGCGATTGGTCTGTTCGTAAACCGATCTCCGTATTACTTATCGAGTACTTCCAAGTGTCTTAAATTTAAGTGACCTTTGATCTATGTACATATATAGTTAAGCCTTAGTTATAAGTGAATTAATGCTTCCAGTTTGGTATTTATATTTCGTATAAAGTTTTTAATTTCTTTCAAAATCTACTTCCATTGTAGTTATAGCTGATTTTTTAAAATAGTTTAAGATTAGCGAGCTTCCACGCTTTTGTATATTACACTTTAATACATTATTGGTTTAATTGCTTTAAATATTTTTTATAAATTTTAAGCATCTATTGGTTTAATTGCTTAAATATTTTTTATAAATTTTAAGCATCTAAATTTTAGAAATTAAAGATTAGAAACACATTTAAGTTTCTGTCAAATTTCATCTTACAGAACAATAAAATATTATTTAAAACTAAACTGAGTTCGCTCTAATAAAAAAGAGGGAACTCTAGGGTGTCCCAGAACACAAAGGGGGTATTTTTTGAAAAGCTGGAATTCGGAGCGCACTTAGGTTTTTTTCAGGTACTTATGTATATTAAAGGATACAAATTTCAAAGGACATTTATCGTTTTTCTTACACAACTTAAAGAGGATATGAGAGGAGAGACCCACTTATCCTTATGTAATTTGACGCGCTGAATCCAAATCTGTAGTCGGTTAAAATTTTCGAGTAATTTGCAAAAAATCGTGAAAATCGTCATATCTTAAATTTCTTTACTTATTTCTGTCGGAATATTTCACTTTTGTACTTTTTTATATTATTACCATTTTTTTTTAATATATTTTGAAATTTTTGCTGTGGCACCATGAATAAGACAGCTCATATTGGATTTATGTATTCTGAGTGAACGCGTTTAGAACTTTACCATTTATCAGTTTAGCCTTAAATTGTTTTTAATAAAGTTTTCCAAGCTTCTAATTTTATTATTTAACAAAGCAATTCTGGCAACTATCTTCTTTCACCACAGTCTTTCGAAAGACAAAAGTCTAATTGAAAGATCTGCTTTATAAAAGCTTAAAAATTCAAAGAAAATTAATTTGTAAAAGAAAAAAATAAATACAAAATAATAAAATAAGTTTCTAAAAAAAATTATATTAAAAAACATGTTTCTTAAAAAAAAAACAGAAAAAGTAAAAAAAATATCAAATGAAGAAACAAATTCAATTTTTTAAATATTAAATGAAATTTAAAAAGAAAAAAGTTTTATTTGTAGCACAGAATCGAAAAAATTAAATTAAAAAAATAATAAAAATTTGGGTTACGTATTCTCTGTGAATACGCTTAGAACTTTACCCTCAATCCGTTTTGCCTTAAATTTGTTTTAAATTAAAAGAAAAAATATAAAATAATAAAAACAATAAAATTATTTTGAAAAAGAAAAATTGTTTATTAAAATATAACGAAAAATAGTTCATTTGGCCATTGTGACTGTTGGCAAAATGGTATACATAGATCCTCATTTGGAACATGCTCAAGTGCTTTCAGTAAAAAGAGCTTTTCAACCCGAAAGTTGGCTACTGAGCTTTTTTCGTAAAACTTTCATGCCAGAATAAACAAAATCTATCAAACTATCTTACATACTGTCTATCAATTGTCTTAAACAAGACTTAGGACTATCTTAGCCAGAATTTCCCTGTAAATCAGCATTCTATTTCAAAATAATTTCGCCTGTTTCTTTAACGAATTGAAGTTTTATAGGTCGACAAAATCGAATTGATTGCAGAGTTCGATTAGTCCAAAGGGATTTCCCCGAGGAATTAAACAAGCGTAATGTAATCGGAGGTTGTTGCGAATAGACTTTGGCTGGTTTTCCCGAAGTCGTATTTTAAAACTGAAGACAGAGTGACTACCCCACGACTCTAAGCTCGCTCCGCTTTTGAAAGCTCTTAAATGTCGTTGTTGCATTAAGCTAATTCGAATATTCTTTTTAAAACATATTTACCTTGCGATGACTGTTAAAGTAATTTAAATATGACTCAGACGCATTGTTGGCCTCAAAGCTTTTAACAAAATTGTTGTGTACATCCTTTTCTACACTCAGTTTCTCTTGCTCTCCTTTCCATATTTCAAATAAGTGAGAATTTTTTAAAGAAGAATAAATGATCAAGTAAATGGCTTTCCTCCTTCCTTTTCATTTTGGGCCTCTGGACCGCGGCCAAAAAAACTACTTCCATTATCTGGTTATTAGGATACCTGGTTATGTGGTTAGATTTTTTATTCAGTTCACACTATAGAACAAAATATTTTATTCAGATAACCTGATAACTAGGCAAGTGTGGACAACCACAATGTATGTTTTTCTTTTTTAATGAAAAAATTTTTCTTTTTAATTTTTATTTTTCTTGTTTAAAAAAATGTAAATTTTATATATACATATATATATAATTTTATAAAAATTAGTGTTAAAAGAAAGGCATAAAAATGCTAAGGCCTCCAGGTCAGCAAATCTTTAAATTAGGGTTTCTAAAGACAGAAAAGAGCTTTCAAAATAGTCAGAATGGAAAATTGTCTTACGTTAGACTGTGGTGAGTTAAAAGACAGTTGTGAGAATAGCCCTGTTAGTCACACAACTCTTAACAAAATACGCGTAAAACGATCATATCCCAAACAGGGATGTGATAGCGATAAAGAGCTCTGTTTTACGTAAAAACTTTCTCTCCCTCTTGTCGTATCTGAAATGTTGAATGTTTGTTTAAACGGTGTTTACATGAGGCGATTTTACAGACAACTTTTAGTTGAAAGTAACAATCGCCTGGTGTGAACGGCCTTTCAAATAATCGCTTCGAATGAAGTTGGGTGGCAGCCAACTATGGATTAAACTAATCGCTTCTAAAATTGCCTGTAAAATCGCCTCATGTAAACGCCGTGTTAGTTACAAGCAAGGTTCCGTTAACAGCGGTGAGGTCAGCATTAATGAAATAGGCAACCTCCTAAATCTGGTTATGAAGTTCTATGCCACTTGATGCGACTTGATCGAAGGCTTAATACGCTAAATAATAACGATTAAGTCAAAAGAGATAAAGACAAAAATGAAAACAATGAGAAATACATAAGAATTGGAGTAGCTGACAGGGTAAGAGAGTTTATTTAAATTTTTCGATAGGAATCGAAATATGTAAGTTCAGGCATAAAAAATTTATTTACAGAAAGTTATCAAGTTACCGAAATTTATCGATATAGAAATTTATCGAGCTATCCATGTTTATTGAGTTATCGCAACGTATCGACTTATTCAAATTGATCAATTTTTATTGAGTTGTCGAAAAATAAAATTTGTTGTCGAAATTTAGGGATAGTTATCGAGGTATAAAAATTTATAGGACTTCCGAAATTTGTCTAGTTAATGAAATTTATTTTGTTTATAGAGTTATCGAAATTTATCGAGCTATCGTAATGCATCGAGTTATTTTAGCCTGTCGAGTTATCGATATTTATTGATTTACTGAAATTTGTCGATTTATCAAATAAAATTCTTTTTCAATTTTCAAAATATATCGAGTTATCGAATTTTCAAGGTTTTAAAAGTGTACGAGTTATTACTGCTTGTCGCAATTTTTATACGCATCCATAGTTTATCAAGCAATCAATTTATATCAAAAAATTTATCGATCCCTCGAAATGAAGAGTTATCGAAATTTATCGAAATTAGTCGAGATATCGAATTTTTTTGTGTTATCGGATTTTAATGTTTTTGAAATTCATTGAATTATCGATATGTATCAAACTATCGAAATTTATCGGCAAAGTGGAATGTATGGACCGAATTCGAAGTACTGCCAAAGACCTTCAAAGATATAAAAAATTGTAGTCACGTTTTAGTTCCAAACCAGGAGATTTTCCGGTAAGTGATTTTGTTCCGTTTATGTAAGTTAAAGGACGTATTAAGTTAGAAAATCTCTCTCCAAGGGTTTGAAAAAACTAGAAAAACGGTCGAATTTCGACAGTAACTGGCACACCTAGTATATGCAGCTTTAAAGTGATAGAAACTAACATTAAGTGTAAAACTTGAATGCCCCCATGAAAACACCTATTTGCCCTAGCACCAAACACGCGTTTAAAAGGGTATACGCAAGTCATTTAAAACTTCAAAGTTCCGAAGCGCAAGCGCCTAGCACACCACCACCCATAGCCCTAAAACAAGTCATTATATTTGCATTCTAATTGAAAATCATATATCACAATAACCTCACGATCACTTATCCAAAACGCCGCCGATATAAAAGTCAGCCGCGCATGCGCA